AATATTTGAACTGGTGAGTAGAATTTACAGAAAGATAAATTTCTGTTCAGTATAAAATATAAACTTATTCATAATTAAACTGTCAATCATGGAAGGACATTGTCTGACATAGTAAGCGTCCCATCCCTGGAAATGTTCAGGCAGAATTGCAACTGCCACCTGTTAGGTGTATGCTGGAGAAGTGTGAGCAGCGGACCCTTGGGTTCCTTGCATATCTAATCTCTGATGCTGCTATGAGAATAGAGACTTCTCTTTTCTTATCCTTCAGGTTGAACTGAGTTGAAGTGGCTGATTGCAGAAGGCGTGATTACGTAGAAGTCCTAAGATTGTGGGGTTTTAGTAGTAATAGTAAACAGATACAAAGTACTTAATTATGTGCCTTGCACTGTTTTAAGTGCGTTACATATATTAACATAAGTAATCCTTTTTACCACCCTAATGAGGCGTGTATTCGTTACACAGAATTATCTAAGATCCAAACCTCCATAGCTCGCTACCAAATCAATCCATGCTCTTCCACACTGTGTTATTGTAGTGAGATAGTTGCAATTATATGACCCTACCCGAGGAGAAGAGTTCAGCTAAAACACTGCAGATAAATGAATAAACAGACACAGGAAGTGGTTTGTTGCATAATAGGGAGTTTCTGTCCATGTGTCTAGTTATGTCTCCAAAGCACAGGTTGATACTTTGAAAAAATCAGTGCCAGGAAAACCACCGTATCATTAACACTTCTTGTTTCTGAATTCAGTACAAGTCAGGTTAATCCAAAATTTTTAATTTAATGGAGAAAAAAAAGATAAGGAGAAAACCATAAAAATAGCATTAGTAGAGTGTAAGTTCCCTAGCCTTTTTTTTTTCTTTATGTTTTCCATAACAATTTGTTATGGATTTGTTTTCACAGAGGAACATCCACACACATTTACAGGTCCCTTATTGAATGCAAATCATGGTGAAGTACTGAAAAGTACACAGCTGTGAGGCAAAGTCTTGACTCCAAAGGAGCTTTCCTAACTCAGACTGCCTGTGGCTGGGAATACTTCACCCCCACCCCCACACCTCAGTTTTACTCATACATGCAATGGGGGATAATGGGGGATAATTCTCATAGGAATATTTCTAATATTGAATAAGTTAACTCATGTAATTTTAGAACAGTGCCCTCCACGTAGTAAATCCCCAATTAGGGTAGCTACTAATATTAGCTAGTGTGAGGAGAAATAGAACATCTAAGTGTAAATCTAAATTTGCAAAGAGATAAATGATACTGCTAAGCAGTGCGTGAGAATAAGATGGGATTTACAGATACCAAATATTCCTGGGTTCAACGTGGGGTGAGATGGATATGGTGGGAGGACCAGGGCCAACTGTCAGGGAGAGGAGGCTTTTGCAGAGCCAGGAAACAAATTCTTTTGGTCACCTTTGATGTGGCATACTTTCAAATGCTGTCCCCAGTCTGTGACCATAAAGGAAGAAAACAGAAAACCAAAGAAGAGAATTCAAAAGTTAAATAGTAGGTGGGAAACAGTGTTAAATAAAAGAATTAAGATACACAGAGGTAACATGTTATTTCCTTCCCCCAATAAATATATATATTAAAATGTGTTTAATATTTGGATAGATGTGTAAATGCCAATCACTGAATTGTTTTCCACTTTTCCAGCTAAATTTCTCCATTGGATGACTCACATTTCTTAGCTTTATTTTATTTTATTTTTTAAGATTTATATATTTGTTTGGGGGGGTGCACAAACCGGGGGAGCAGAAGGCGGAGGAAGAAGCAGGCTCCCCGTGGAGCAGGGCTGGATCCCAAACCCCAGGCCCCTGGGATCACGACCTGAGCCGAAGGCAGACGCTTAACCGACTGAGCCACCCAGGCATCCCTCAAATTTCTTAGCTTTTAAAGTAATGATTATTTTTGACATTGACCAGAAAAAGTGAAAAGCAGTTTAATTTAAAGTGGAAAGCACCTGGCAGGTGGCACAGGTGTTTATGGGTAAGGCGTAAGGATCCAGCTTTCCCTGCACAGCAAAACATGCAGGTACATTTATAATTCCCACCTGGAGGGGAGCAAGCATAATGCAAATGACTCAACTTTTCTTCCTGACAAGTCTCATCTACTCCTTACTTTTAAAGCGACCACTACTCATTTGTCTCATTTTCTGATCGCTTGTTTTAATGTCTTCGGGATGGCTTTAACTGATTTACTAAATACCGAATGTTCAGACAACACTTACCAGGTTACAGAACTCTTTCCCACGCATTATCTCACAATAATTTTGAGAAGCGCACATTACTCATTCTAGTTTTCAGGTGAGTTAACTTAAGAGTAGAGTCTGTGTGACTTTCCCTAGATCACAAAGGGATGACTGGTCTACCTGCAGATAGAATGGGAATATTATAAAATGTTTCAGAAATAATCAGTATGCATTTAAGGGTCCCCTGGTGTCTGGTTGGAAAAGGAAAATTTGGGGGAGGGAAGGACAATACAATATTTGAGTCTCTGCCTTTATTTTTTGTGTGTGTGTTGCCACCTATTGGTCTTCGTTTCGTTTCATTTTTGGTTTTGTTTTCCCTCTGAAAGAAAACTAGAGGGTTATTTTTCCTCACAAGCTTCAGAACCCTGCCAGGGAGAGCAACGAAATCCCACAACCTGTTGACTGTGGCCTGGGGTCCCTATCCGGGGGAACAAGAGGTGGAATGATGGAACAAGATGCCCCTCCAGCAGCGGAGACACATGGGACCGCTGGGTCCCAGGAAGCTTTCCCCAGAACTGTCCCATTGCTTCATCCTCACTGGGCAGTAAAGTCAATTGTTAAAGCCACAACCCTGTGGACCGGCTTCATGAGCACCTAGAAAATGTGGCCTGGGTTAGCAAAGCTACTTCCTCCTGTGAAATGCTTTAACAGAAGTGGTGGCTCAAGACAGGCCTGGAACAACAGAAAGAGTTTTTACGAGAGCATGGGAAGGGGGAGGGGGGTAGTGCCATTGGAGGAGAGGTTAGCAGGAGCCCAGGACACCCCAGAAGACTATTCATAAGCAGTCCTTGGCCACCAAAAAAGGCGAGGAGCTTCACCCAATCCTGGAAATATGGACTTGTGGCCTGATGGCACCCTTGGAGTCTCTTTAGTGTAGGAGGGGAAGAATGAAGGGGGGAAATCGGAGAGGGAGATGAACCATGAGAGATGATGGACTCTGAGAAACAAACTGAGGGTTCCAGAGGGGAGGAGGGTGGGGGGATGGGTTAGCCCGGTGATGGGTATTAAAGAGGGCACGTTCTGCATGGAGCACTGGGTGTTATACGCAAATAATGAAACATGGAACACTACATCAAAAAAAATTTAAAAAAAAGAAAAGGATTAAGAGAAGTTTCAAAGCCTAGGAAAATGGAAAGGGGGCACACACAGAGGAAAAGAAAGGTAAGTGGAGGGTAAAGGCAAAGAGCAGGCTTTAGTGGTGTGATGGTTCATTTTATATGTCAACTTGGCTGTGCTACACTGCCCAGACAGGTGGTCAAAAATTATTCTGGATGTTTCTGTGAGGGTGTTTTTCAATAAGATTAACACTGAAATCAGTGAACTTTGAGCAAAGCAGATTGCCTTCCATAATGTGGGTGGGCCTCCTCCAATCCTCTGAAGGCCCAAAGAGAACAAAAGACTCACCTCCCCTGAGCGAAGGGAAATTCTGCAGTCGTTGGCCTTTGTTTGGACTTCAACTGTAGCATCGGCTCTTTCCTGGGTCTCCAGTCTCTGAGATTAAGATTTCAGACTTGCCAGCCTCCATAACAGCATGAGGCTATTCCTTAAAATAGATCTCTTTATATACATATATACCTTGATGTATATATATATATGCCCATATATACATCCCATATACATCCTACTGGTTTGATTTCTCTGGAGAACCCTGACTAATATAAGTGAGTTGTAATCCTCAGACTACAAGAAAGAAAATTGAAGCTGGTGAACAAAAACCAGGGATACAGCACTAAGAAAACGAACTGTGGCTCTATTTGGCAACATACAGGTACTGACTGCAGTCTTGGCTTCTTAAGTTCTCAGCATTAGTTTCTCTTTGCTAACTTTTCTTATTTCTAATTGAATTCATCCCATCCTGTTTTATGTGTGATTATAAATCACCTTAATTCTTTTTTAGGATACGTTAGGGGTATACGTAAGTAAATAGATTCTCATCATTTGAAGCAATTATGTAAGGCTAGATTTAGATTTCCACAGATAGGGAAGGGACACATGAATTATCCAAATCAAAGAAGAAATGAGGAGGAGACATAGATGATAAATGCCCAGAATTTAAAAAGATGTTCAGTGAAAGTCCAGGTGTGTGTGCAAGGGAAAACATTGTAGTAACAGAAAAGAAAGTATTGAAATTAATCCAGAGGATAAAATATCAAGCCACAGAGATGTGATAAAGAACCAAAAACTCTACATTAAAAACATAAAAGATGAGTTACAAAAAAGAGAAAATGAGTTTGTGTTAGTATATCTACCTAAATTTTTATGAGGTTTACATAATTAAAAATATTTTATGATGGGGGACAATTAAAGGGTTCAAGGAAAAGACATGAGTAGAGAGAACATTGTGAAACAATGAAAACATGTTGCTATGTTGTCTTTGTACATATGCATTTCAAATGTGTATACTCTAAGATATTTTTCTAAATTAATAGCTCAGGTACAATTCATGCTATGCCAATAAGAGGAGTCTGAGGCATTTATGACTTTATGTAAGATGATAGCAACGCACTGAAAAATTATGAGGAACAAACAACAGTGAAAGAATGTCCCACCGCAGAAGTGTAATAAGAATGAGAGGACTCCACCCCACCTGCCCACATCAGAACCTGGCCAGGGTGCAAACCCAACCATGTAACGACACTCAGAGAAAGCCTAAAGATTTCAGGAAGAAGTGTTCTTCAGCTTGTAACTCATTTTTCCTCAACGGAAAGTATCCTTCAATCTCATCTCTTTGCTCACCTGTGTTATATCTCATACCAATCCGACCATGAGGTAATGATGTTGTGGTAGCTGCCCATAGATTGTGTGAAGGGAGGAGGCCAGATATTCTTCTCTAAGACCTGGGTTGGCTTATTCCCTCCATACAGCTTCCTCTAATTTGGTGGGAATCAAAGGGGAGCATGAGGGGTTATGGGTTTTCGTTCTTTAATTGGTGAACTTTCCTTTCATTTCCTCATTCTAGGGATTGCCAAGGAAACCATGTTGAGGTTTTTCAGCCATTGGTAGCAGGCCCTTCAAGTGTCACTAAAATAGAATTTGAAGAAAACAAAAAGTAACGCTATAAAAACTGGAATGGTTTTTTTTTTTTTTAGGTTTCTTTCTTTATAAACACAAATATGCTCAAGTTCCTCTACAACTCATGAGACACCTTTGTGGTTGAGACAGAAGGCTATTGCCCTTAGAAAACATAACCCAGAAACTGTGGTCAACTTGTTAGATGGTCATTAATTTCAATGTAACTTCTAAACTAAAATCTTAAAGAGGTCACATATCTGGGGCATTGTCTAGCACCCACCCTCTGAAATACCTACCTTCCCCATTTACCTAGATGTGTATGAAATCTGTGACTATACAGTTTGAATTTTATGAACACTAATTTTACTTATTAGCATATATAGAAAAGATACTTGAGTGCTGCACAGAAAGTTCTATGAATCTGAAGAATTATTAGAACCTGTGAAATAATTTTTTCTACCATATCTGATCTCTTAAAGTAGAACTATTTAGAACATAACATGCATTTAATTAATCTTAACGAGGTTAAAAACAGGAAGAGCTCTTTAAAAACACTGATGAAGTAATGACGACTCATGATAAAAAATTAATGTAACAGAATGGAAAGTTCTTTCTGATAAGAAACACCTACATGATGGAAAAATATGCATAAAGAAAATGATGTTTTGAGAAGCTAAAAAAATCCATGGCTTTTACTTTTTAATATTTGTATTAATCTAATAAATGAATGCCTGAAGTTAAAAAAAATGAAATATAAATAAAGGCTTATAATGAAAAACAGCCATTTTCTATCCCAGTCCTATCCACCCCAGTCCTGCTCTCCAAAAGCAATGACTTTTAAAACTTTTAGGTCCATCTTAGGGTGCCTGGGTGGCTCAGTTGTTAAGCATCTGCCTTCAGCTCAGGTCATGATCCCAGGGTCCTGGGATCGAACCCCACATCGGGCTCCCTGCTCTGTGGGGAGCCTGCTTCTCCCTCTCCCACTCCCCCTGCTTGTGTTCCCTCTCTCGCTGTGTCTCTCTCTGTCAAATAAATAAATAAAATCTTAAAAAAAAAAAAAAAACTTTTAGGTCCATCTTCTGTTTACCTCCATATTTCTTTTTTTTCTTTATTTATTTGAGAGAGAGAGAATGAGAGACAGAGAGCATGAGAGGGGGGAGGGTCAGAGGGAGAAGCAGACCCCCCACTGAGCAGGGAGCCCGATGTGGGACTTGATCCCGGGACTCCAGGATCATGACCTGAGCCGAAGGCAGTCGCTCAACCAACTGAGCCACCCAGGCGCCCTACCTCCATAGTTCTAAATAATAAATTTAATCTCTTACCTGTCTGAAGATATTAATGCTACAGGTCTGTTTGTCTGTTGTCTCTGCTTATTTCTCTCTCTCTTTCTCATATTTGGAGATTTTCCCCCAAAATCTGATGATCCATTCCTCTAAAGAGGCACTAAAAACTGGATTGGGTGCGCTGGGGGTGAAGAGATGAGTGTGCAGAGATGGGGGTATACAAAGGAAAGAGCTAATCATTTTGTGGTGAACACACCAAAGCTCCCAGTGGTAAAGTATTATTTTTTTCCTTTAGAACTGTTCTAGAAAATAATTTTCTAGAAAACAGCCCTTGAATCTCCTGCCCAGCTGGAAGCCAAATTCCCTTGGAGAAAGAGGGTGAGCAATGGTTTTGAGCCCCCAGTCAGTAGCACATTTTCAAAAAACCCATTTTCAGTCCCAGCCTGTCCTCTGCCTTTGAAAGTCTTAAATAACAGGGAGAAATGCTTAAGATATAAAGTTAAAGGGGAAACATCAGGATACAAAATTATATACACAGTATGATTTACCGATATTCAAGCATGCATGAAATAGCTAGAAAGAAATACACCAAAATATTGAGTAGTTTTGATTATTTCTGAGTACTGTATAAAATGTGATGGTTATTTGCTTCTTGATACTTTTGTGTTTTTTTCCAAAATTTCCACAAAATATAGACAGTAATTTAAATATTAGGGAAAAAAAATACTTGTTTTTTTAAAAACATGTATCAAGATGCCAACAAGAAAACCCACAGAGGTGTATGTTGATATCTGAGTAAAGTTTCTCAGCTCCCAGCTTTAAAGATTTTCAGCTAAATATTTAATATTGCTTTACATTTAGAAAATATGAGTAGTATGCTAAGAAATTTTCTATTGATATGTTGAAAGATTGAAATGGCCACTTGAGAACTTGAAAGTGTTTTGCAAGTCCTGACTCAATCCTTCTCCCTACTCACCTGAATTTGTGTTGTCATTGGTTTTCATTAGTTTTATCACCTAAAAACAGCCTATGTGAAAATTACAGCCTGGAGTATACTCAGTAGTATCGTAATAATGTTATATGGTGACTACACTTTGTGGTGAGCATTGAATAATGTATAGAACTGTTGAAGTACTATGTTGTACACTCGAAACTGATAAACACTGTATGTCAACTACACTTCAATAATAAGAAAAAAGTCTATGGTCTAGCTTTGTATCTTTTGAGTTTTATACAAATGAAATCATACTGTATGTCTTATTCTACAGGGGTTTTTCTTCACTCCATATTATGTTTGTGAGTTTTGTGGATACTTCTGGTATTTATATTTCTATTCTAGTGAATACCTTTATTATTACATCTTTATTTATCATCTTAGTTTTTCATTTCTTTAGACAATATCCATTAGTTTCCTCTAATATCAATGAGAATTTAGCATATTTTCATTTCCTCCCCTGTAACTCCAGCCAGAAGTCAAGCTGTATTGTTTGTATGTTTTCCTCCTTCGATTTATCAATATATGCTGCTTTCTGATTTCTCCACTTTCATTTTTAGTCCTTAAAAGTAAAAATGTACACCATTTATATGGACAAGCAAATTTTGAAATTTTTTGATCATGTGCTACTAATTTTGACCTCTAAAATATCCTTACTTATTTGTAAATTAAATATATGCATTAATGTACTAGTTTATTATGGACAAATGATTAATTACACACAAAAGTAGAATTTTTGAAAGGATAAAAATATTTTCTTACCTTTCTTCACTGAATTATCATGCACATCCCCTAGAGTAGAGACACTCTCCTGATTTAGATGAACAGTCCTCAGTCCTTTCAGGATTATGTATCCTTTTGAGAGTCAAATTAGCATTATGAACTCTAAGAAAAATGCACCCATTTCACATGATGTCAGGCAAATCACAACTCAGGAACTCCCTAGGAATTCAACATAATTGGGATTATAGACATTGCCAACTCCAGAATCTCTGTAATGAAGAGAAAAATGAAACAATAGAGCCATTTGCCAAGATATAAACATGATAGTCAAACTAACCCTGATTGATTGAATATGTAATAACGTGTTTAGATCATCTCTCCACTAGTACCATAGTTGAATGAACCAGCAATCCCCAACAGTTCTCTTATCTTCTCTCCTGTCTCTCTCTCCTTTTCTGTCATGTTCTCCTTCTCTCATGTCCCTCCTCTCCCTCTCCCTTGTCTCCCCCTCCTTGTTCACTTCTCTCCACTTTCTCTTCTGTCTCCTCGGGCCCCCCAGTAAGTCCCCAAAACCCAGAATTAGATTTTCTTCAACGAATGTGCTCCACCTACTGGTACTTTAAAGAATTTCAAATTTAAATACAATTTGAGAAACTGCTATCAGATATGTTAATGGAAATTATTTTATTACCTAAATTTTAGTACCTGAGAAGATCTTGGCAACTTATGGACTAAGATCATTTTTAAAATCTAAACTTAATACATGATTTATCAAACATATTCACATGGAGCATGTATTATTTTAATAACCTCTCATATGGGACGCCTGGGTGGCTCAGTCGCTTAAGCGTCTGCCTTTGGCTCAGGTCATGATCCCAGGGTCCTGGGATCAAGCCCCGCATTGGGCTCCCTGCTCAGCAGGGGGCCTGCTTCTCCTTCTCCCTCTGCTTCTCCCCCTGCTTGTGCTCTCTCTCACTCTCTGTCAAATAAATAAGTAAATAATCTTTAAAAAAAATATTCTCTCATATGTAGAAACACAGCTATTATAATGTTTTAAAACTTATCACAATCATATCCAACTTGTCTCTTTTTTAAAAAAGATTTATTTATTTATTGAGAGAGAGAATGCGAGCAGGGAGCGGGGCAAAAGAAAAGGGAAAGGGAGGGAATCTCAAGCAGCCTCCCCGCTGAGCATGGAGCTGGATGTGGGGTTCAATCCCAGGACCCTGAGATCTCGACCTGAGCTGAAATAGAGTCGGTTGCCAAACGGACTAGGGCACCCAGGAGCCTCCAACTTGTCCCTTTCTGATTTCCTTCTTCCCTATTCCTTTTGGCTCAGGGAACTTCTTCTCATCCTCCTTCCCAGACTCCTCTTCCCAAACTCATTTTTCTGCCTCCAGTTCAGTCTCTGACTTTCCTTTCTTACTACACTGCATGCACTTCCTTGGGTGACTCACCTTCTTCCACTTGTTCAATTATTGCCTTTACACAAATAATTGGTAAATATTTGTTTCTAGATTGAACTTCTCTCCTGAGCCTTAGACTCACATCTCTAAATACCAGCTTGCAGGCACGTCAAGCTCATCCAAACTGCTGTCCTCTCTTTTGTTAATGACATCTAACCTTATCCACTTATCCACTGCTATTGAACAAGCCACCCCAAATGTAATGATATAAAACAGCAACCATTTTATTATGTTCACAGCTTCTGTGAGTCAAGAGTTATGACACAGCAGGGTTGGCTTGTCTCTGCTCCACATACAAGGGCATCAGCTGAGAAGACTTTTTTTTTTTTTTAAAGATTTTATTTATTTGATAGAGACACGGTGAGAGAGGGAACACAAGCAGGGGGAGTGAGAGAGGGAGAAGCAGGCTTCCCGCTGAGCAGGGAGCCCGATGCGGGGCTTGATCCCAGGACCCTGGGATCATGACCTGAGCCGAAGGCAGACGCTTAATGACTGAGCCACCCAGGTGCCCCGAGAAGACTGTCTTGTTGTTACAAGATACCGTATTTCCCTCACATTACCAAACGGTGGAGAGGGAGGTAAAGATGAAAAGGAGGTCCTTGTTCTTTGTTTCCTAGAAATATTCACATTATTTTTAAGTACCATACTCATGTTAAATAGAATATTAAGATCAAGTTCATAATAAAGAATAAAAACTACTTCCAGAAGTTAATTTGTATTGATATAATTTAAAATGTTCTTCTGAGAACATATAAATTTTTTAAGATTTTATTTCTTTGTCAGAGAGAGAGAATATCTACTGCAATTTTTATTTTAATTTTTAAAAATATTTTATTTATTTGACAGAGAGAGACACAGCGAGAGAGGGAACACAAGCAGGGGGAGTGGGAGGGGGAGAAGCAGGCTTCCCGCCGAGCAGGGAGCCCGATGTGGGACTCGATCCCAGGACCCTGGGATCATGACCTGAACCAAAGGCAGATGCTTAACTGACTGAGCCACCCAGGCGCCCCTCTACTGAAGTTTTTATTTTTATTTTTTTATTTTTATTTTTTTTTTAAAGATTTTATTTATTTATTTGAGAGAGAGAGACACAGCGGGAGAGGGAACACAAGCAGGGGGAGTGGGAGAGGGAGAAGCAGGCTCCCCGCTGAGCAGGGAGCCCGATATGGGGCTCGATCCCAGGACCCTGAGATCATGACCTGAGCCGAAGGCAGACGCTTAACGACTGAGCCACCCAGGTGCCCCTCTACTGAAGTTTTTAAAGAAACTACAACTTTAGCTACAAGCAATTGATAAGTTGGTTTGAAATTTTGTATATTAAACTTATTAGAAGGATGTCAAACAGCAGACATGGAACATTCTTAAAGCCTCAGGCTGCCTCACCAAGTTAGAAAAGGAAAGCAACTTGACCAGCCTGCATTTTTAATTTATAGATGCATTACTCCCTTGCTGTTAAATAGAGGCATCCAACTGGTGCAACTTTATTTACAAACGTTAGTTTGATACTTCCCTAACCGTTCCATAAGCAAACGTGTCCGTGACAGAGTCGATGTTGCAACTCTATAAACTACGACAAAGCCAATCTGCTCTCCTAAATGACTGTATTTGTGTCAACTCCTTGAAACCGTGATGGATTAAACTGTGTCAACTCTTATATTCAAACATGCTTTGAAGTATGAATGGAATTAATAGGTGAAGCATTCTTTAAAATGCTGATTACTGATTCATGAGCTTAACTTCTAGAATCAAAACCAAGTACATTGATTAGAAGGTGAAATGCAGGTTAATTACCTTGCTCTGCTGGTCTGCTAGTGTGTATCTGGTATTAACTAACCTGTAGAAACAGGTCTGTGAGGTTTTATATTGTACGCGCTATGACTTGGTTTCAGGTAACAAAAAATACTAAACTTAGTCAACTATCTATAAACGTCTAAGCTTCACTAACTTAAAGGTGCTAATTTAGGTTTATTATGAAATGGGAATTTTACAAGTGTGTTTCTTTAGGAAGAAGGATCAATTTTTTAAAATGTGTGATTTCAAATGCACGGTACTTAGGTCAAGGATACTACAATACATCCCTGAAAGCCATTTCTTTTTTTTTTTTTAAAGATTTTATTTATTTATTTGACAGAGAAAGAGAGAGTTCACAAGCAGGAGGAGAGGCAGAGGAAGAAGCAGCTCCCGGCTGAGCAGGGAACCTGACGCGGGGCTCGATCCCAGGACCCTGGGATCACGACCTGAGCTGAAGGCAGCCGCTTAAGGACTTCACGGCGCCCCGTGAAAACCATTTCTAAATGGGTTTTAAAGGATGCGTACTCCTCTTAATGGGAACTTCTGTCCTCACAGACTAGGAATAAGACAGTTATATAGAAAGCCAAACGATACTAAGCTTAATTACACAATATATTGTAAAACAGTGTTGGAAGACAAGGGTTAACAAGTCATTCACGAGGTAGCTGGCACTATAAATAAGGAAAGACCCACCCTAGGTATTTTGGAGTAATCGTAGTGTATGTTAAATGACTATGTGCATACAGACTGTGAGGAGAGCAATACTACAGATGAAATGTGCGGAGGGGTAGAAGAGATTGATTCCAAGGCAGGTTTCTTGGAAGTCTGAACTGGGCATGGAAGGATGGATGGAAGCCTGAGAAATTCCAAGCAGGGGTGGCAGCAGCCTGACTACAGGCCAGATGGAAGAGGTTTAGGAAATGCTCAGCAGCATGAGTGGTGGGTATGAGGTCTGAGGCCAAAGGGCAGAGGAGGAATGCAGAAGAAAGGGCAGAAAAGAGAGGTCAGAGTCAAATGGTGGATTGCTTTGAATGTCGGGTTGAGTTTAGCATCTTTTCTGTAGAAGGGGGGATGCTTAGAATATTTGAGGAGGGCAGTGATAATGGGATTTGAGGAAGTTATTATTATTTTTGGGGGGGGGGGGGTTGTAAAACGGTGGTTTTATTAAAGCCCAGGGACAGAATCCCTGGGCAGAAAGAGCGACTGCCCCGGGGTTGTGTGTCCTGCCTCATTATATACTTGGGAGTTGGGGGTAGGGAAAAAGGGAGGTTTTCAAAAGAACTTCCATATGGTAAAGACGAACTACAAGATACTGGAGGCCTTTGCCATTGTCAAGTTAAGGTTGTTTTTCCCTTTAGTAGGACATTAAGACGGTTGGGAACTTCCTGGAAGAGAACGGAGGTCAGAGTGACCGGAGACCCAAGATTGCCGAAGTTCAAGTCAGAGGGAACGTGGGACCAAAGTTGAGTGGTGGCAGTGGACAAAAGATTGGGAAATCAAGAAATATTTCAAAGGTATACTCAACAGGATTTGACTAGGGCAATGAAAGAGGGAAAGAGTCGGATTTACTTTGTGGTTTGGGATCTAATTCCCTTCCCCTTGAATCTGGAGCTGGCCTTAGTGATTCACTGGTGACCAATGCAGTTTGGAGGAAGTGATACTATGTAACCTCTCAGACTAGATCAGAAGGCAACCATGCTGCCTCTGCCTTGTTTGCTGGAATACGTGTTCTGAGCCACCTGAAGGCACTGTGGTCTACAGACAGTCTTGAGTCCTGAGCTGAACCTAGCCTTCGAGGTGTCCTAGCCTAGGCTTAGAGGTGTCAGATGATTTCTGGCTTGATCAACTGTAACGGCAAAAGACACATGGAAGGATAAACCATAAAGGAACAGATTATTCGGCCTTCTAATAAGGCGCTCTTTAGCATGCAGAAGTTTTTATCTCATTAAACACTCAGTTGCATTAGGTGGGTAAGCTGAGTATAGTGATGGATATAAAGTAGTGGTTAGAAATTTGCTCCAAAGCATTTACATGCCATCCCTCAAATTTCCAGCCCTTATGACCACTAATATGCATGTATAAGAGGCCAGCAGTTAGGTGTTCAGGCCATTTGGAGGTACACCCTGGGCCTCTAGCAGACTCAGAATAAACATCAATATGAATTTAAAAGAGAAGGTCATTTTGAATAAGAGTAGAATGATCTATTTTCCAATAGTTACTCAATTCTTTTTCCCCCATAGTTCTCATCTGTAAGAGAAATACACAGTTATTGAGAGTATGAAAAACTGATACTCTGAAATTTTGAAATTTCATCTTAGTCCAATGACCAGACCTGACAGCCCTAAACACAAATAAACTAGCAGAACTATATGCCAAGAGATTTTTATTGTAAAAAGTAAACTGAGGTTTATTTGAACATTTGTTCCTATATGCTTGTATTTTTTCATTTAATCAACTTTATTAAAGTATAAATCACATATACAATAAAATTCCATGATTTTAAGTGCCAAGGTCGAGTTTTGATACATGTAAACAGTCTGGTAAGCACTACCACAATCCATATAAAGAACATTTCCATCCCCTCAAAATATTCTTTTGCTCCCTTCCCAATCAATTCCCTAGTCCTAGCCCTAGCAACCACGGACGCCTTTCTCTTGTTTGAATTTTGGCTTTTCTAGGTTTTCACATAGCATAGTCATACAGTGAGTTCTCTTTTGTGTCTGGTTTCTTTCACTTGGCGTAATGCCATTTTACTATTCGCCCAAGTAGTTGTTCCTTTTCACTAATGAGTAGTATTTTCACATCCTGATACATCATCTGTTTATCCAGTCATCTGTTAATGGGCATTTCTGTTGTTTCTAAGTTTTGCCTATTGTGAATAAAGCTGCTATGGAAATCTGAGTGCAAAACTTCTATTTTTCCTGGGTAGAATACCTAGGAATGAGGAACCATGGTTTTAGTACTAAAAAATATTTATAATCCTTATATCAATTATCCTTTAAAAAATGAAAAATACAAACATTTCTTAGTCATATTTCATAGTAAAATTTATCAGTGGATCTGTTGTAAGATAGTTGAAGAATTCATATATTTTCCAGGCCTAAAGAGTCACACACAATCATATACATTTAACATATTTCAAGATAATGCTTAATAATATGTGGGAAGATACTATTCCTTACAAACTTCAATATATTATGTAAAATAAAATACACTCAAAAAAATACATTCATACTATTATATGAACAAAGAAACTACACTAAGAATTCTGTTGTGATTTTCTCTTAAGGGCAAAGAGCTGCAGAATCTCTAATTTAAAAAGAGGACAATTTTAATTAGTCCACCTTCCAAAGAAATACATTTATAAAATGCCTACATGCTTCTCACACTAGTTATGTTGACTTTAACAAAGAACAGTATCTCTCATTTGTCAAATGAGAAACATTTCCTAACTCACAACATCCCCAGGATTGTTCTTAGTCTAAACTTCCATATAGAAAAATGTGGAATAGGAAATTTTAAATATCAGACTCCAAGGTTATAAGCTCTCACATTCAAAAGTGCAGAGAATCCAACATTAACAAATTATAGTTCTTCAAAAATCAGAACCACAGATGTCCCTTATTTAAATAACAGTGATGTCACTTCAGAGTTAACAACTACAGGGAATCACTGAATTGTAACACATGGAGAGATTAAGAAAACTTCAAGTGTTCCTATATATCATTATAAAAATGAACATTTTACAATATTATGATCTCTAGAGAAAGACATATATAAAGATCATGATCAACAAAACTTCAGTCATGACAAAGTAAAAATTTTACCTTCCTTTCAAGCTGCTTTCTAAACATATTAAGTCTCAACCTCACTGAATTAATGAAAATAAAATTTATCCCACAACAGATTTTTGTGGCAGAAACTAAAACTTCAACAAATATATGAAACGAAAATAGCATGAGCAGTTTCCTTACACAAACTATATTTAGATTTCCTTAGCGCAACACTTGGAAACTCAATTTCATATTTTGTAAACTAGTCATATGAAATGATTCTAAAAGTATAAATGAGTTTTATATCAACCAATTGACGCTGACAAGCTGCCATACCACCACCTGTCGCTGGCAGCTTCCAACGCAAACTTGCAGTACTTAAAACACACGTCAGCATCTGCCAAGGAAGCAGGCTGCAGAGTGAAGACTGGAGCTCGAAGACAGTGGTTATGAACTGCCACACAGTGGCAAGGCTGCCAGCCCGGGGAACGGGGCACACATTCCGTGTCCCCCAAGCCCCAGGAAGGCCGCTCTGTGTGCATCAATGCACCCAGTCTCTCGGATGGCGCAGAACTTCCAGAATTTCCGCTTCTTTGGAGTTCTCCGGGGGTGAATGCATGTACTCCCACCTATAATGGTCCAAAACAAAAGCAAAACATGTACTAATAAGAAAAATTATAATGAACAATACACACACCTCTTTACTTAAAATCGATGAAAAATAAAATTCTAAGAGTAAAAAATGTCTTACACCTCCTTGTCTCTAATGTACCTAATACGCCTTTTACCCACTAGCCTTTTTTAAAATAGTTGCTGCTAAGGAAATAAAGTATTTTATTTTATTTATTTATTTATTTATTTATTTATTTATTTATTTATTTATTTATTTTTAAGATTTTATTTATTTATTTGACAGAGAGAGACACAGCGAGAGAGGGAACACAAGCAAGAGGAGTGGGGAGAGGGAGAAGCAGGCTTCCCGCGGAGCAGGGGGCCCAATGTGGGGCTGGATCCCAGGAACCTGGGATCATGACCTGAGCCGAAGGCAGACGCTTAACGACTGAGCCACCCAGGCGCCCCGGAAATAAAGTATTTTAATAATTCCTGAGCAGGGGCGCCTGGGTGGCTCAGTCGTTAAGCGTCTGCCTTCGGCTCAGGTCATGATCCCAGGGTCCTGGGATCGAGCCCCGTGTCGGGCTCCCTGCTCAGTGGGGAGCCTGCTTCTCCCTCTCCCACTCCCCCTGCTTGTGTTCCCTCTCTCGCTGTGTCTCTCTCTGTCAAATAAATAAATTTAAAAAATAAATAAATAAATAAAATAATTCCTGAGCATTGTTTGCCTAATATTAATATCCCAGAGCCAAAATACACTTTTAGTATAAATCAGGGTTTCATAAATTGTAGACCCTCCCATGATCCATGGGCAAACTTTGTTTTTTAGCTTAATACTTATACATTTATTTTAATGTGTTACTTTCTATTTATGGCAATAATATCAGTTTGCATTTTTAAATAAATTCTCTCTCAGAAAAACTAAGAGTAGAAAATTTAAGTAAATAATACCTCAGATAATATACAAATATAGTCAAGATGGTTAAGCTCTAGTATGAAGTCTGGCAGATACTGGCTTAGACCAGGGGGTAGCAAACTTTTCCTGTAAAGTGTCACTTAATAGATAACTTTAATTTAGGCTTTGTGGGGCCACATACAGTCTTTTGCATATTCTTTTTTGTTTTTAATAATCCTTTAAACATGTAAAATTCATTCTTAGTTCAAGGACTGCACAAAAACACATCACAAGTAGACCTGAATTCAGCTTATAGCCTGAAGTTTGCACACCCTTGGTATAGACTGTAAGAAGCCAAAAGTGACCTGTCCCAGTAACTATTCAAATGAACAAGGGATTGATGTATAATCCACCCATATCTGCAGCTTAGAATGTACCTTATAATTAGGGGCCAGTAGTAATCAAGAAGACTACTGGAGGCCTTAAAAACTTATCTCTACTTTTTGTTCACATCTCGTCTCTGGGGTGGCAGGAACACCTAGCAGTGATGTGCATGAGCTTTCAGCTAAGGACAAGAGACCTCACGAGCAGCAATCATACAAGGACAGAGCCAATGCCATTCGGAAGGCAGACACAACCATGCAGGGTACTAATCTCACCAGGCTAGGTCTGGACAGCAGAGCGAGGCAGGGCATTCCTCCGGTGCCATACAGCAGTCCACTCTTAGTTGGACATTTACACTCATAGAAAAAAGAAGATTCTAGCTCTTATAAAACAAGCAATGTAATTTTTCTTTTTTTCTGATCTTTTCTATTTCAATCTGGACACACATCATTCTGACTTTCATATAGCCAAAAAGTCAAGCTAATTGCACCAACATAAATATATCTGTTTTTAAAATTCCTCCCATAGGAGTGCCTGGGTAGCTCAGTCAGTTAAGCATCTGATTCTTGATCTCAGCTCAGGTCTTGATCTCAGGGTTGTGAGTTCAAGTCCTGTGTCAGGCTCCACACTGAGCATGGAGCCTACTAAAAAAATTCCCCCCATAGATTCAATTAACCTTTATGGAGGCTCACCACAGCAACATATAAAGCAAAAAGAGAATGCCAAGCACTGGCAACAATCCCTTGTACTTTCAAACAAGCTTGATACTTCATATTGGAGAATAAGACTTCTCCTTACAAATAAATATAACAATTTCTAACAAAATTAAGCTGAAAAACCTGACATGCTCAAATAAATTTGCTTTGCCCATAACTCTTCCTAGAAAATTACCAATTAGGCAAGGACACCACCATCCACCCTATCTTCTCACTCCCTCTGTCCTTTCCCAGCTGTCACCCACAAAGCCTTGTCATTCATCATGCTGTTCATTCTTTAAAAGAAAAAATTATTTTCCTTATTAGTTGACTGTGATTTTATTATTAAAATCAGGAAAGTCAAAACCAACGAAGTCTTTAGGTTAGACATTTGCAGTGTTAACGCTCATGTTTTGTAGGGGTTAGTGGACTGAGAGTGGAGGAATAATTATGATGAGTAATTCTTACCGAGCAGTTAAAGGTAAAGACATCAAGATGCTTTCAATCCTGGATCCTGGAGTGAAGAGGCCAAACTTTGTACCCCGATCATACAACAGGTTAAATTCTACATACCTGACATAAAGACAACAAATAACATTAAAGGCCAGTTGAATAAAATCTTTCTTAAGACTAGCCCATAATGAATACTCTAAAGGGGGTGGGAGGTTTCTTCCTGCCCATCACCCCTCCCCCTCTCAGTCAGCTGGAATGGGCACAGGGAACGCCAGTCTACAGCCAGCCAGCTGAGTCTTCTCCATCTGGACAGGCATAAATAAAAGGGTATTCTACCCAACAAACAATAGGATATAGATTCGGCCCCAACAGACAGCAGCTATCAAACAAGAAGGTTATGTTTTCCAATAAACAGAATGGACACAAAGCTGAGAACTTTAAGGCTCAAAAACAAGAGAAAGAAATGAAAGAAATGGCACCCTTTATCAGGATAGAACAGTTCGTTCTGGCCTTCCCCCGTGGTCTGAGAGGTTTCAGAAGACTTCATTTTACCACCTATAATTTCCACATACTAAGATCTAAAACTTTTGTAACTGAAAGGCCAAGTACAGCTAACGGCAATCTATTAATAATTACTAATATAGGGCGCCTGGGGGCTCAGATGGTTAAGCGTCTGCCTTCGGCTCAGGTCATGATCTCAGGGTCCTGGGATCAAGTCCCGCATCGGGCTCCCTGCTCCTTGGGAGCCTGCTCCTCCCTCTGCCTCTCTCTCTCTCTCATGAATAAATAAATAAAATCTTTAAAAAAAAAATAATTACTAATACATTCTAGAGATTTCCTTTTCTCAAAGTAGTTAATAGCATTGATGAGCAGTCCTATAATTCAGTCTCCCTGCAGATTAGCGGCAATCAATAAGCAGTGGTTGAGCTGCAGTGCTCAATTTTTTTTTTTTTTTTAAAGATTTTATTTATTTATTTGAGAGAGAGAATGAGAGAGAGAGCATGAGAGGGAGGAGGGTCAGAGGGAGAAGCAGACTCCCCGCTGAGCAGGGAGCCCAATGCGGGACTCGATCCCGGGACTCCAGGATCATGACCTGAGCTGAAGGCAGTCGCTTAACCAACTGAGCCACCCAGGCGCCCATGCAGTGCTCAATTTTATTTTGCTAAGAAAAATATCCTTAGCATCAATTAAAACTTGGTTCAATAAATTTATTTTCCATTAACTGCCACGGGGTCAGATCTAAACTCTGTGTAGCTTAAACATCTCTGACTGCCTTTAACATCATGGGATCTTTTATAAAAGGTCATTTAAACTCCAAAGATAATTTTCACTACTGATAAGGATTTAGAATGACCCATAAAGCCGAAAATTCAATGAATAGTCCCCCTTTCAGATCATTTATCAACTCATGCAGAAACTATTCTCTTGGTCTAAACTTCCCTCACATAGTCTTGTTTATCCACTAATTCGTCTTTAATCACACCTGGAGGAAGATAACCTCTAGAATCCCACAGTACTTGAATTTTTAGAAAACACACTTCTCTGTGCAAACTTGCCAAAAGCCCTGAGAAAATTTAAATAAATTATATCCATGGATCCCTTTCTAGTCCCCAGTATTGACTCATCACAGATTGAACTTTGTGCATTAATAACTAATGCCTTCTTATACCTGTTTCAAAAGATAATATAAAGCAAAACTTCTTCCTTCCTAAGACCATGGAAAAGAATTTCAGCCTTCAGTCACCTTTTTCACCCCCGATGCTGCCTTTCTGAAACATGATATTTAAGGGATGGCTGTGATTCTCTAATTTGTATGGATGTCTCTTTCAAAGGCCCTTGTATGGAACTCCCTACATGAATTTTCTGTAAGGATCCCTGTACTGCTTTCCTTTTTTGAGTGAAGAATGCCTCTCTGACCCCTCCCAGGTTTCACTTAGATCTGATCTTTCTGTTCCTTCTGGTACGTTTATCCTCTCTGAGGTGCCTGCAAACCATGAACCTTAGCCATTCCCTTCAATTTAACAGATGCCTAAATTTTATCCTGTTTCCCTTTCCTAAAATACAGCAAAGAGACAGTAAGGTAAAGATCTTTCGTTTCTGCAGTGCCTGACTGGCTTAGTCGGTAGAGCACGCGACTCTCGATCTGGTGGTTGTGAGTTTGAGCCCAATGCTGGGTGTAGAGAGTACTAACGTACGTACATACACCACACATACAATACATAAATACATACAATCAGTCAATCGGGGAAGCTCCTATCTGGGGCGGAAGGAAATGGAGTAAGCGGAACCTGTGAAGCATACAGATAGGGTGATGAGTGCCGTGTGCGGAAGGTGAAGATAATGCTGACAACCGTAGGTGAAGATAATGCTGACAACCGTAGGGAGAGCTGTGGTTCATCTGAAGTCCCAGAGTTTACTGCCATCTTAAGGCCCAGAGATAAGGGTGGCAGAAGGAGGTTCTCTGTGAGAAAGTCACAAAAACCAAAACCAACACGAAAAAACACCAAAAAGAATACAAAACACGGTTCCTATGTCTCAGAAGTTTTAAGGTTTCACCTAATTCATATTCACAAAACCGGTCAGCTTTGCATGTAAAATCCTATGCAAAACTGGAACATTGCCCTTTCCAAAGGTTGGGTTTTTTTAATAAATGTTCACTGGCTATTTTATTGACATAATTGTTATATTAGTTTCAGGTGTACAATATAATGATTCAACAATTCTGTACATTACTGCTTGCTCATCACCAAAAGTGGACTCTTAATCCCCTTCACCCTATTTCACCGATCCCCCACACCTCCCTGCTGGTAACCACTAGTTTGTTCTCTGTATTTGAGTCTCGTTTTGTTTGTTTGTTTTTTCTGGCTTAGTCGGTAGAGCACAAGACTCTTGATCTAGGGGGTGTGAATTTGAGCCCCATGTTGGGTGTAGAGAGTACTAACACACATACATATATACATTTGTACATACATACATACATACAATAAGGGAAGCTCCTATTTGGAGCAGAAGGAAGTGTCTAACATATTGGCTGGCACATAGTAAGGACCCCATAATTAGTTAATATTGTCATTAACTATAAATAATTTCCGAAATGATTATGCCCATCAAAACGACCTCCATGAAATCTTAAAGATGAATGGAAAAGTGTGGGATTCCAAATTTATAAAGCAGCAAAAACATTAAATGATGCCCATATCTTGGCATAAGGCTGGAAGGTATTGCTAGAAGACTAAAAGAAATCAGCCGAATTAAATTCAGCAAGTACCACTACATGGCTGCTATGAGTCGCTAATTTACAGACAAATGAAATAAATTTTGCTTTTTTTTTTTTAAAGTTTTTATCTATTTGAGAGGCAGAGAGAGAGAGAGCATGGCAGGGGGCGGGGAGCAGGTAAGGAGCAGAGAGAGCAGGAGAAGCAGACTCCCCACTGAGGAAGGGAGCCCGATGCGGGGCTCGATCCCAGCACCCCGAGATCACGACCAGAGTCGAAGGCAGATGCTTACCCACCCAGGAGCCCCAACTTTGTTCTTTTTACAGCACTATTGCACACAATTTTTAATATTCATTTAATATTCATCTAGTTTTAAAAAGCAGCTCTGGAGAGTCTTAACACAACCCTAACAAGACAACAAGCACCCACATGACTCCAAATGCCCCACCTCGCCGCGCCAGTTCCACAACAGGGTGGCCCATTCTCCTGTTGCCACTCACCGCCCTCTCCGGAGCTGCTGCCACAGCTTCTCCTGGGGCGTGAATGAGTCATCACGGTGCTTTTTCACAAGAGGAATGTAAGAAGGAACGACAGCCTGGGCGCAGCTCTGCACAAAGCGAAACACTTCCTCCTTGGATGGGGAGTCAAGGTCATCAAAAAAGATGCCCCCGATGCCCCTCCTCTCCCCACGATGGACGATAAAGAAGTAATCATCACACCTGGGAAACACAGCAGGGCCATGGCAAGGTTCAAAGGGGGGAAAAAAAAGACATGAAAATCAGTGTGAGCATTTCCGCATGGAGCTCTCTCCTTGACTCACGCCAACACGGTGTCCTTACTTTCTGTCCAGCTATGAAAACGAAACTAGGGCTTTCGACAGACTTCCTGCAGTCAGCACCCATGCAGAAAATGCTTATGCTTTCACATGCGAAGTAAGGAAGGAATTTAACACATGTCTATCGAAAGTATATGGAACTCTAAAAACTTTAGTGAAGAAGAAACAAAGAGCCCAGTATTACTAGGGTATTTCCTAAAACAAGTGATGCGGCTGCCCTCGGCAGCGCTGTGGCTTTTGCAAGAGGCAAGACAAGAATCCTCTACCAGCAGCAACACTAACAAGGTCTGTGTCTGGGCGCCAACCCTTCAGCTCTTGAGTCAGTTCTTCCTTCACCGAGGGAAGGTATGGTAAATAATCTCTAAGGTCTCCTTCAGCAATAAACTGTGGAGGCCCCAGAGCATGCAGGGCTGAGGGAGGGGCTGGTGGAAGGAGACGCTCAGAGAACACCTACAGACATACGAGCCACCTGGTCTTGAGTCTTCCCCCTCTCTGTGCCTACTAGAGCAGGTTTCTTAAATGCTAAATTTGCAGAATACTTTACATGGTTGAAATAGCTTGTTAGATGATCTCTAGAAGAATAAGGGTCTGTAAATAGAAAAACCCAAACAAACAAAAACTAAAAGCTGTTTGAAAGGTTCTATGAAAAATAGCCTTAATAAAAAAAACCTTAATAGCTTAAAAAAAAAGGGTAGCAGCTGCAAATCCCTAGAGCTGATGCATTGGTCTAATTCACCTGGACTGTGACTTGTTGGCTTTCCTTTACATGTATGTAACATGTTACATGTTCCTGCATGTAACATAGTTGAAGTACATCCTGAGCAACGTTGTGAAGTCAGCTTTAACCAAATCACACTATTTCAAAAGCTCCATGAAGTTATGAAATTAAGAAATGTGCTAAATACTTATACTAAAAACTTCTTTTTAACTGGCCTGCATCCTACATATCTTAGTAACTAATGTCACTCAGATGGAGTCATCTCAATAACAGCAGTAAAAGGAAACCAAAAAATGACGTCACCCATACCCTTCCTCTTCCTGGAAGGATGCTGATTTGTGAGAGAAAAAAAAAAAAACCCTCCCTCACACATCCAAGCTTCCACAGCTGTGCGGTTTTCGGGGGTAATATCAACCAAAAGGAGAATATGTCTTTTCTGAGGATTTTAAAACTGAACTCCAAATCTTACATAAATAATATCAAGATTCCACAGCTAGCTCTAAAAGCAAAGCAAAATCACCCTCCCCCGTCCCCCCCAAAAAAACACCAAAACCTCTTCTGTTCTTCCTTTTTCAAGAATGCCAATTAGCTCTAAGTAGAATTGGGTGCTTTACTCTTATTCCAAACAACTTATGCCTAGACTCCATTTCACATTTACCAAATATCCTGGATCTCCTCACAACTCATTTCCCTTTCCTTTATCATTAGAGTTTCTTTAACAGAATTTCCAATCCCACTCTTCTCCTTGTCCAAAGCATCTGGTATATTTGCATCTTTCCCTAATAGTTCTCCAACCCTTCCCATGTCCTAATATTCCTGTGGCACCAACAGTTCTCATCTAGGATGAGAAGTTAATATCCCACAGGAGAATTAAAAAGCTTCTAATTCTGAGGTATAGATCATGTTAAAATTTATATCCTAAATCATTTGGGATCAAAAAAGATGCTGCTACCCAATTTTTATTACAGATATTCAAATACTTCTAAGTAAATAATAAAACCACTTCAAACTGGTATCCCACTTCCAGTGGGCAAAGAAAACAGAGGAACCTTCATAAGATGAAAAAGGTCTTAATGACATAGTAGTTGCCTTCAGGATCTACAGAAGGAACGAATGAAATGTATTTTAGGTGTGATGACAATACCTTTACTTACCATTTTTTAAATTTAGGGTAGAGATCAGGACCATGCTGGTCACAAGCCTCCTTTAGAGTTCTGTGAAAATGGACAGCATCATCTTGGTTCAAGTATGTTGGAGTAAGGTCACATCCACCACCAAACCACCACTGCTTGTTACCTACAAAATCAAGACATGTGATTCTCATGCAGGCTTTGGACTCTGAGATGTAGCACACTACTCACCGTATTTGCAAACCGAATTTATCAGCTTAGTTTTTTAATCATGAAATGTGTGACAATCAAAAAAGATTTAACTAGGGCGCCTGGGTGGCTCAGTTGGTTAAGCGACTGCCTTCGGCTCAGGTCATGATCCTGGAGTGCCAGGATCGAGTCCCGCATCAGGCTCCCTGCTCGGCAGGGAGTCTGCTTCTCCCTCTGACCCTCCTCCCTCTCATGCTCTCTGTCTCTCATTCTCTCGGTCTCAAATAAATAAATAAAATCTTAAAAAAAAAAAAAAAAGATTTAACTAAATTTAGTTCTGAATGGCCAGTGAAGCCTAGGCATGAAAGAAAAGGTATAAGCAGAAAGAAAAAGAAGTAGGAAATTAAAAAGTGAGAGAGCAGAACCAGGAGGAAAAGGACATGCATGGCAGTGAACGACGAAATATCACGTGAGTGGACTCCGGCTGCATATCAAATCACGTGAGGAGTGTAAAATGCCTCTGCTAGGTCACAGTTTAAAAAACAAACAGAAGACAAGCAAATCTCTGGTCCAAACATCCACAGTTTATAAAAACTCCTCAGGAGATTTTGATGTTCCCTGTATTAAAAACCACTGCCCCGCTCCCCTTAGCCCAGAAGGGGTTAAAACGTTTGCAGAGGGACACAACTTACCACTTGAGACTATTTCATGTGCTTAGTTGGGTCTATAAGTTGTTAGTACCAGTTACCAACTTCTAACATTAAAAGGCTGGACCAAACTAAATGTCTTCAAAATGCAAGTTAAATACATGGACTTTAAATACCATCACCTGCAGAGACACCCACAGCCCCAGAGAGGCACTGCACAGATGCTCCGCCCGATGCGAACACTTGGCCCGGCTAACTGCAGACAGGGGCTGGAACCACCTGTCCATACGAGGCACCATCAACCCCATCTTAAACCCACTGACAATGTGCTGGTGACTAGTGAAGCAATGCATGTGGAAGAGATTTTCCATAAGCAAATTCTCCATTTCAATGTAATCTTGTTTTCCTTTGGATTTCCTTTCCTGTGCAAAGAAGCCTGCGTGCACTTTGAGTTTGAGATTCATTAAATCATTCCTTCTGTGTTGGAGGAAATATGGGGAAGTCAGAGTCCAGCCAATACTATTTTCTTCTTTTCACCTCTAGCGCATAATCCATTGCACCTGCCAAGGGATCGGGCTTCATCCGCCTCCCGAAAAACCTAGTTAAGATTTATATATTCTTTCTCACGTTTAGATTATACCCTCTAGCTTGTTTTAAGATACACATTTTGCACAATAATATTTTGCACAGTTCCATGGATGCTTACCATCGGCCTCTTCTACTTCAAAGTATCTATAGTTGAAATGGATAGTAGGAGCATGAGGATTCTTGGGGTGGATAACAGAGCTCACACCCATAGCAGAAAATGGCAATTTACCTGGAAAGTAAAACATATAGTGAGCGGCACTCAATCAGCCAGCTTGATTAACTCCAACATAGTTTCAGGATCAATTGTCAAAAGCTGCTTTTTGTCTCTTAAAAAACAATTTTTAAAAAGGAAATGTGAACATGCTTCTCTGGCATGCACAACCAAGTGGATTTTTACAGAAGCACTATTTATTTTACACATAAAACTTGTGGGGGAAAAAAGGTTTGCAGGGGCTATTACAGGCTGTGGATAATGTCTGATTTACCATCTTTAGTCTTCAGATTTTTTCCTCGGCTTCTCATTTGTTTGGCTGCTTCCTCAGAAAGATTCCCATGAACAACAGAAATGCTCACCCCAGCCTTTTCAAAAACATGCCCATCTTGAAGTACACAGCTGATGCCTCCACCTCCTGTTTACAGAAACAGAAAATGAGGAGAGCGTATAAGGACAGATGCAAAATCCAAAACAACCCTTGCATGAAGGTGGTGGGATTAGGAGTTATTTTCCTCCTTTATTTTCCAAATCTTCTATAGTATCAGTATATTTGAAATTTTTAAGTACAATAAAATTAGATAATCAGCTTAGCTGGACATTGCTACTGACAGTGGGCAAATGCTCTATCTCCCCCACATCACTAAACTGAGGATTTCTTCCACATCTGAAATAAATCACAGGACTATTTTCTCTTCAACTACTGTTCAGAATGACATCCACTGGTTATGATATGTGAGAGAAGGCTGAGGTTAAAAACACGTATGGGTATATTTGTGGAATGTTCTATTATTACTGAGTTTAAGAGCTCCATATTACTTCAATTGCTTTTTCTCAGTGTGTTGTTTACCATTTAATTTTGTTTACAGGCAATTAAAAAAACAGTAGACAGTCGAACTCTTCAGGGATTTGGAGGCTTAAACTGACTAAGACACACATTAACATTTAGGTATCGGAGCTTTATTATTAATAGTTTGTTTTTAAGACACTAGAGTTACCACCAAGGCAACTGTTTCACAGAAGTACCTATTTGTCTTGTTTTATTTCTAAGAATTTTTAGAGCTGGTTGGGACGTAAGGTGATCCAGTGCAACCCCCCCAAACCCCCGCACATTTCTAATGAGAAAATGAGGCCCAGAAAGACAAAACACCTTATCCATGATCACACAGCTGGCAAGTGGCCCAAACAATGTCTTTCTATGCATCAGACAATATTTTAAGCACTTCATTCTTCACTCTCATATATTATTTCTAATCTCATTTCATAGATGAGGAAACAGAGGCACACAAAAAATTAAGTAAGTTCTGAAGGCCACACTAGCTATTCTAGTACTTGAGGTTGTGGTTTGGTTCAATGGTCTTCACTTGAAAACATGACAAGATGGAAAACACTCTGAAGACCAGATTTAACTTCATTTAATATAGATGTGGCAGTATCACAGCTCAAAATCTGCTGATGAGAGACTGCTGTAGTATTCCTAGCTGAAAGTCAGGAATTCTTCAAGTTTATGACCAAGATGGGGAGTTCCACTCCATAGGCAATAACATGGTCAGGAATACATGATTCTATAAAAACTGGGTTTTTCATTGTTGAAGTATTATTGACATATAACATTATATTAGTTTCAGGTGTACAATGCAATGATTCAATATTTGTATACATTGCAAAATAAGTCTAGTTACCATCATCACAGTTACAAAATTTTTCTTACAATGAGAATTTCCAAGATCTCTTAGCAACCTTAAAACATGCAATACAATATTTTTGACTATAGTCACCATGCTGTACGTGACATCCTATGACATATTTATTTTATAACTGGGAGTTTGTACCTCTTGATCCCCTTCACTCATTTTGCCCACTCCCCTCACCCCCTCCTTCTGACAACCACCAATCTGAAAAACTGGGTTGTAATACTAAAGTCTTTTTGCCATTGGAAAGAAAGATTTTCCTAGCAGGAATTCTGATGCGTGCATTTGGAAGAATTACTGACAAGCCAAATATTTCTTGTGCAACTTAGGAAAAGACATACTGACACAATTACACCCTCGGCTGGGGGAGTCTGGCCAGATACTTAGCAAAGAGGAGGCAAGTTCATCTTTCCATCTCTAAAGGAGGAGAAAGTGTAAATGCACCCAGAGAAACAGATGAAATGTGGGTAAGATCCATGCTCAGTTACAACTTTAGATATCCAAGCTTGTTGGCTAAAAATAACCGCAGGGCTTCTAGAAAAGGCCATCATAAAATAGCATAGGATTTGGAATGCACACTTTTAGAGTGACCAAAGATGCATCCATACGTCTGATGACCCTTTTAGTATCCACCTTTCTAAAGGTGTCCCTTCTAACCTAGCAGCCGCTCTTCTAGGTACCTCTTTCCTACTCTCATCCACTATTCTCATTTTCTGCCAGCAACGTAAGTGCGACCTCTAATTGCCATCTCCACCTCCCGCTAGGGGCCTCCTCACCTTCCTTCCTCTCCCACCGGTCCACGCAGAAGCGGGCGCCCCCGTCTACCTGTGCCAACGCTTGGCACACCTGGGCCTGGGTCTCCAGGATCAGCAGCTCCATCTTGGTCTTCATGTCGCTCGGCCTCCGCCGCAGCTCGCGCAGGTCGGTCACAGGAGGGGCCATGAAGCAGCTGCAGCGGCGGGTCAGCTCATCGTCCTCCTCCGGCCTCGCGGACGAAGGGCTCCGTGCCCCCGAGCTCCTGGGCACCATCTCCGCCCGCTCTACGTGCCCGAAGGCGGCGGCGGCCAGCCCCGCCAGCCCGGCCAGCCCGGCCAGCGCCGCGGTCAGCCCGGTCCCCAGCCGGGGGCCTCCTCCCGCCGTAGGGATGTGCCCCAGCCCCCGGCACTGCTCGCTGCCAGCCGCGCCCGGGGCCCGGCAGATGCGTGCGGCCGTGCAGCGCCCGGGCCAAGCGCACAGCCCTCCGCGGCCGCCCCGCGCCGCTCGCCAGCAGGAGCCCGCGCTCAGCCTGCCCAGGCGCAAGGCCATGCTCCCGCGCTGTCACCCCTGGCAATGCCCACGTCCCGGAGACCTGCCCCTGAGTTCCCTGGGAGTCCCAAGCTGGCGAGCCGCTCTGGGAGACGGAACCTTTGGCGGAGAAGAGCTACTACCGGGTCAGTTCCCGGGCTGCCGGCGGGAGGCGGCGGATGCTGGGAGCTGTAGTCCGGCCCCTATCGCCGCCTGCAGGGGCGCGCCGGGGAGATAAAGACTCCACAGTCCCCAGAAGGGCGGGCCCCAAAACAAGGGAACTGGGTGCAGAGGAGGGAGGGGCGGCTGAAGCGAAGGCAGAGATAAGAGGCTTTCTGGTCACGTCCAACTTCTGGTCTGCTGTCCAATCAACCACAGGGAGAAGGCAAAGTGGGGCTGAACGCTGAGGACTGACAGGGCAGAAATATGGCCCGAGACCCCTGCCCCAATTTACATTTTCAAACAGGGTTGCAAATCCTGGTTCTGAATCTATAGACAGACCCTTTGAGCCTGGTTCCAGTTCAGGAGACCTTCTAGAGCTTGCAGGATTGGCTGGGGGCGGAGCCTGGTAGACTCCTTACTTACCAGCCCTTTCTAAGGGGAATCCGCAAGGGCAAGCTAGTAAAGGGCGCGTAAGAAAATCCTAGTAAAAGACTTTCTGGGATCAATTCATATCACAGTTCATCATTAAAATCTTCCCAGGTCTTGCTCCTGCACTGCCCACTTGATTATTTTAGAAATAGGAAAAGCAATGTGATTGTTTTACTAAACCAGCATAAAACTAATGACCTGGTGTGTTTGGGTGACCAAGGAATAAGAGATTTAAAAATAGTTAAAATCTGGGACACCTGGGTGGCTCAGTTAGTTAAGCGTCTGCCTCTGGCTCAGGTCATGACAGGGTCCTGGGATCCAGTCCCGTGGGCTCCTTGCTCAGCAGGGAACCTGCTTTTCCCTCTGCCTGCCGCTCCCCCTGCTTGTGCTTGGTCTCTGACAAATAAATAAATAAAATATTTTAAAAACATAAAATAAAAAATAAAAATACTTAAAATCCTACAGTTGTGGGGTGCTGCCAAGTATTTCTCACCTGTAGTACTTTCAACAACTCCTGTAAACTAGGTTTTTAAGGTTAAACCTCATAAAGATGAGGTTTATCAGCAAACATTCACACCGCTTCCTCCCTGTTACCCCCAAAACACACAGGCGCGCGTGCGTGCACACACACATACACAAACACACACTCTTTTAAAAAAAGAGGAAAGAAGCTAACATAGATTTGACAGATTTTTGTTGTTTTTGTTCCTGTAAGCATACCACAGTTCTATGTTGTCTAGACATAAAAGTGTTAGAATGACTGTCATGGAATGATTTTAATTTCTAATGGTAGATAATAATTTAAGCCACTGGTGGTGGTCTCTACAAGTTTTTTCTTGGTGGCTAGATGCAGTGATGGAACGTCCATGGCTGTGGGTCAGACCAGCTGTTCAAGCCAGGGTATCTTATCCATTCGCGACTGTATCTGGCAACTCTCATACTGGGACTCAAGGTTAGCTGGGTAGCATGCTTGACTCGCTAGCAGATTCAATGAAAGGTAAAGGCTTGGATTGAGAAGTGAATAAACTACCTGGGGTGGGGTGGGGGGTGGGGGGAGAAGACCAGTGGCTTTTAGCCATAGTGTAACATGCTGCCAGGCTGAGTTGCAGGAGAAAAGGGAAGATAAGAACCATTACTTCAGGAAGGGCTGTTTGCTTCTCCTAGATGCCTGTGATAGGGTTTGGCTGGACCTGTGTAATTGAAACTTATTGATGGAAAAAAACCTCTCTAGCCCATCTTTCTATAAGAACCCCCCTTCATTATTGCTCTGATTCTGAGAATCATAAAGCTAGGAAAAGGTAAGCAGGCACAGGCCATTTTGAACATATGCCCAGTCAGATAGGCTGGTCTTGAGCCAATTGTGTACTAGTTTGCATGTTTCCATCCCTCCCTGTCCTTGGCTTCTCTGTGCAAAGGGCTGCTCTCCTTTTTGCTGATATCCAGAGCCCTCCCTACCCTACCTAATTATACTATGCTTAAGAAAGACCTTTACGGCTATCAACCTTAAAAATAAAATAACCAGTTATTTAATCAACAAAGATGAGTTTATCTGGGAATAGCAGAGGAATTGCAACTCAGGACATGCAGACTACAGCACAAAGAGGCAAGAACAACAGAGAGGAACAGAGAACAGAGGAGAGGGACTTGCTTTTATAGAGGAAAGGAGGGAGCTGCCAGAGGTGGTTTTGGAGGAAAGTTCATAGGAGGAGAAGGAGAGTTCTGCGTTGTGGTGGCTTCTAATTGGCTGGGTTTTTGCTGGGTGAGGAGAAAATCTTCCTTCTTCCCACAGGGTTATGTAAAGTAAGCTGTGAGCAATACTGAGTGAGCACCATCCCTTTATTGCTCCCGACCCTATTTTGAATTGGGTTTCCTTTATTCATTTTCACACAGCCTGGTTAGTATGAGTTTAAATCATCTTCCTGGGATACAAATTGTCTCCAAGGGATATTTAAGCCTTATTTTTCGGGGTGGAATTTAAAAAAAAATCCCCTATTCAAACAATTTCAAGCATCAGAAAACTAGTGGGAACAAATAATAAGTTTATAATAACTTATAAAACATAAGGGGTAAGTGTTCTCATCCTTTTTTGAGCCCGGTTGCCTGTATTGCTTTATGTTCTATATGACGCTACCGAGCAAAAAGATTCTGAATAGCTTTACACAAGCTCATGAATTTTTGAAACTCCACACGCTTCTCAGAATCCTTATGAATTTTTCCTCTCCTCTATTCCCTAAAGCCTTGAACATAACTGACTTTAGGCCTGCCCTTTTCTAGAGAGAGTCAGAAGGGACTCTGACTTCACCCCCTTGACAGCCTTACACCCTTTTAACAACACACACACACACACACACACACAGACTCATGAGTCCCACTGGCTTTACTAAATTGTACTAGTTTCACCAATTCCCGAATTTTGAGATCTGAACTTAAGAAACGCATGATCAAAGTGACTCAGTTCTGCTACTCCCAGATAAATAATTAGACTCAGGCTAGTTATTAACAAAGTATTGCCAAACAGATGTGTTCACCTTGGTGCACTTCTGCCAATTTATTAAAAATGCTAATGGGGATGTTGGTGGGGTGGTGGTAGTGAAATTAACAAAGAAATGGACTTTTTGATATTTTTACGCTATTTTTTTTTACAATTTATTTTTTTAAATGTTTATCTCTTTAGAGGCAAGTATTTACATACTTCATTAAAACAATTGGTTCTTAAAGTTAAATGTAGGTTAAACATCCGATGCAATTTGGTGTTGCTGTCTTGCTTTTTCTTTAACTGAAATAATTTTAAAATTAGTTTTTCAGAGAGGTATGGATAGCACCCAAATATTCCAGAAAAGTTTTATGAAAGGGAGGAGTCATGGTGCCTGCCCCTTAGTCTTTAGCCTTTTGCCTTTAGGCCCTCCATATTTTTTCTCTACAGTGATATGCATATATCTGGAGTTGCAGCAACCATTTGTGATGAAGATTATAAAGGTCACATGAAAAAGTTTGCAGAGGAGTAAGATAGAAGTAGCCTGGGTCCTGATACATCCTTGAGCAGATGTCATAGCCCTGGGCTGGAGTTCTTGTTATATGAGAAAAAAAATAAATTAAGGTGCTGTTTGTCAGCTTAAGTCTTTCTAACATCCTAATTATTCCATCTTGATTTGGATGTCCACCCTGGAACCAACCAACAATGGCCAGGGGTAAAGGATGGAATCATGTTAGAACATGATGACCTCCCACTATAACTGGGGGGAATGGTAAGTGTGGGATATCATTTCTAGAAAAAAAGGAAATATGATAAGCAGACAATACCACTGATGCTCACTATAGAAAGAAACTTTTGAAGATAATTCTGGGGCACTGAGTTTGTGAATCTAAGATGAACAAAAATATGGAATTCAGAAAGAAGTAGCAAGTTTAGGTGTATAGGAGGTAATAGGTTTAATCTTGACAATTATTAAAAGTTATTTCTACCGGAGCTGGGTGGCCTAGTTGGTCAGGCTGCCAACTCTTGATTTTGGCTCAGGTCATGATCTCAGGGTCCTGGGATTCAGCCCCACATCAGGTTCCATGCTCAGCCAGCAGTCTGCTTGGGGAATCTCTCTCTCCCTCTCCCTCTCCCCTCCTTCTCTCAAATAATAAATCCTTAAAAAAAAAGTTCTTTCCACCAGGTCAGCCAAAGTCTCCAGCTGTTCCATTTGCCTAGGTACAGAAGCTTCTTGATTACCTCACCCCTACACTATATAGTGCTCTCAACAAAAATTCTCAGAGGCTTAAGAATGCCATGGGCCCAGGTACCTGGGTGGCTCAATCATTAAGCGTCTGCCTTCAGCTCAGGTCATGATCCCAGGGTGTTGGGATCGAGCTCCACATAGGGCTCCCTGCTCCACGGGAAGCCTGCTTCTCCTTTCCCACTCCCCCTGCTTGTGCTCCCTCTATCACTGTGTCTCTCTCTGTCAAATAAATAAATAAATCTTTAAAAAAAAAAAAAAAGAATGCCATGGGCCAACTGAAAGGAAGAGTTGTTTGGGAAGATGTTGGGACAAACTGTTGGGGTCTATGCAGATATCCCTTCTGTTTCGGCAATCAAGGAACAATGGGAATGGGGCAATAAGACATCAGACAGCAATAAGAAAAACATTTAACGTTGCTCATGTGTATCTGCATCCATGTGATTTCATGGCACTTGCAAATGGTGGTATTTGCTCAAGATATGCAAAGATGCTTTCACTCATGTCATGGTGAGTTCATCTCATCTGGTGAACTAGAATGCTCTCTTGGAAAATACACATCTAAGACTTTTTAACTTAAGCCCATATCAACATCTTTTTAAATTTAGGAGTCAAGAATCAGTTCCCTTAGTTCTCTGCATCTATCTACAGCAACATTTTCTTCTATGTCTAACTGTTCAGCTGGGACCAGGACCTCTTTCTAGAAGTGATGAGGTTAAATGAAAGCAGAGGGAGATGGATGCCTGGGTGTCTCAGTGAGTTAAATGTCTGCCTACAGCTTAGGTCACGATCCCAGGGTCCTGGGATAGAGTCCCGCATCAGGCTCCTTGCTCAGTGGGGAGCCTGCTTCTCCCTCTGTCTCCCTCTCCCTCTGCCTGCTTCTCTCTCTGCTTGCCACTGCCCCCTGCTTGTGCTTTCTCTATCTCTCTGATAAATAAATAAAATCTGAAGATAATAAATAAATAAATAAATAAATAAATAAATAAATAAATAAATAAAATCTAAAAAAAAAAGAAAGAAAGCAGAGGGAGAAAAAGGCACATTTGA